AGGAATTCAATTTTTTTTTTTTTTTTTTTTAAGATTCTACATGTAAGTGATATGCAGTATTTGTCTTTCTGCATTTGACATATTTCACTTAGCATCATGCCCTCCGGGTTCATGCATGTTGTCACAAATGACAGGATTTCCTTCTTCTTCTTCTTTTAAATGTTTATTTATTTTTGAGAGACAGGAAGTGAGACAGAGTGCAAGCAGGGGAGGGCAGAGAGAGAAAGGGGGACACAGAATCTGAAGCAGGCTACAGGCTCTGAGCTGTCAGTACAGAGCCTGATGGGCTCGAACTCACAAACCGTGAGTCATAACCTGAGCTGAAGTTCGATGCTTAACAGACTGAGCAACCCAGGCACCCCCTGGATGTCCTTCCTTTTTAAAGGCTGAATGACTCTGTGTGTGTGTGTGTGTGTGTGTGTGTGTGTGTGTGTGTCCGTGTCCCCATTCTCATCAGCATTTGTTTTCTTTTTCATAATAGCCATCCTAATGTGTGTGAAGTGATAGGTCATTGTGGTTTTGATTTTCATTTCCCTGATTATTAATGATGTTGAACACTTTTTCATGTACCTGTTAACCATTTGTATGTCTTTTTCTGGAAAATGTCTGTTGAGATGGCTTTGCCCATTTTTAAATTGGGTCATTTGTGTTTTTTTGCTATTGAGTTGTAGGAGTCCCTTGTATATTTTGTATACTAACTTTTTATAAGATAATGTGACTTACGAATATCTCTTCCATTCTATAAATTGTTTTTTCATTTTGTTAATAGTTGCCTTTCCTGTGTAGATGTTTTTAGTTTGATGTAGTTTCACTTGGTTATTTTTGCTTTTTTGACCTTGCTCTTGGTGTAAAATAGAAAAAAATCATTGCCACGACCAATATCAAGGAACTTATCCCCTGTGTTTTCATATAGGAGTTTTAGGGTTTTTGGACTTCTACTCCAGACCTTCATTCGGTTTGAGCGGATTTTTTATGGTGTCAGTTTGGGGTCTAGTGCGTATCTAGTTTTTCCAGTACCATTTATTGAAGGAGTATCCTTTCCCCATTATGTATTCTTGATGCCTTTGTTGTAAATTGACCATTTATGCATGGGTTTCTTTCTGAGCTCTCTGTTCTGTTTCATTGATCTTTGTGCCTGTTTTTATGCCAATACAGTATTATTTTGATTACTATAGCTTGGCAACAGTAGCTTGAAAATAGAAAGTGTGATACTTATAGGTTTGTTTTTCTTTTTGCAAGATTGCTTTGGCTACTTGGGGACCTAGGGGCTTTTGTGGCACCATACAAATTTTAGGATCATTTTTTTCTATTTTTGTGGGAAATGCTATTTGAATTTTGGTAGGTTTTGCATTGAACCTATCGATCACTTTGGATACTATGGACATTTTAACAGTGTTCTTTAAATCCATGAACATGGAATATCTCTAACAGCTTCTTGGTGGAGCCTTTAGGGTTTTCTCTGTTTAACACGATGTCATCTTTTCCAATTTGTGTTCCTTTTATTTATTTTCATGCCTAATTGCTCTGGCTAGGATTTCCAGTAGTATGTTAAGTAAAACTGGCAAGAGTTGGCTTTCTTGTCATGTTCTTGCTCTCAGAGAAAAAGCTTTCCTCTTTCACTGCCAAGTTTCCTATCCTTGACCATCATTTCAGCTGTTATAATGATTAAAATAAATAGGACGTTCATATTTGAGGAATATGAAATAAATTCAAAATTCCCATTTTAATTGAAGTAAAAATTATACCTAAATTATATTGCTTTTGGAACTACGTAATTCAAATAGAGAAGACGAGAGAAAAATTATTATTCACTTATGCTGAGAAATCTTAATACAATATGAGGAATTATGGTTTGAAGGTTTGAGGTTTACTTTTAGTGTCATGTGCAGTTGATTGAAAAGCCCTTTCCTCTTATTTCCAAATAAGAAATAATTTGAAAGAAATTCTCTCCCCAGCCAACTAAGAAGCATTCTGACTTCCAAATACTGCAGACTCTGTTCACAGAATTTAGCCTGGATTTTCTAACTGTGGCTTTAGATCTTGTGTGACAGCTCCTGTCAGGATAATACATTACTCCCCGAGCCAGAGATACTTTGTGTGCTGTAGACACTCCGAAATGTTTCTACAAATAAAAATGGGGTTTTTTTTTTTCAGAAGGAAAACATCGTGTTTCTAAAGTAACATAGGTGGCTTGTCTGTTGCTGACTGGGTGCAATTCAGGTGCTGCTGAGAACTGTGTCTTCTCACTGTGCATATATGTGAACGTTCAACAGATAACTTGGGACTTTAAAGAGGTGCATACGTAATGTATATACATCTAATGTCTGGATTCACTTTAAAGTTCTCCGGGGGAAAAAATCCCCAACAACATTTGGTGACTGGGGAAGGGTTTGCGAAACAAGTGTGAAAAGTTGATATTTGTTGATAAGCTGTTTGTTGGTTCCGTGGGTATTTGTTATACTCCAGTTTCTACATCTGTGTGTGCATGAGTACAAATTCCTACAACAAAATGCTTAAAGAAAGGAGTATTAAGTTTGCAATGAGGATATCATAGTATCAAATGAATCTTAAGGGGATTCAAGAACCCACCAGTTTAAAAGCCAATGATAACATTTTAGCTAATACATTTCCTGCGTAATGTCTTAGAGAGAAAAGGAAGGTAAGAGGGAGAGAAGGATTAAAACAAAGGATAATTTAGCATATTCATTCATTGTTTTCTAGGTCACAATGCTGTTGTTAAATTATTTGCATCATCCAGTATACTTTTGTTTATTTGTTTTTTTGTTAAAGAGATTCATAAACTTCCTATTTGCTTTCAGAGCACTTTTATTAGTTCATTAATGAGGCATTTATAATACCTGGGAATTCTCATACAGATCACTAGTGACTAATTATTTAGGTGAGAAAACAGTAAAGCATACTTGACCATGATTCCTACCAAGGAGCAGACTGGAAAGGCTATGGTCCAGGTGAGGCCAGTGGTCACAGTGCAGTGGAAGTGACTTGGGTTGGGATTGAGGATGGCATCTAGCTCAGGTTCTGCTGTCTATACTAGAATGATCTACAGCAAGTTTCTGAACCTTTGAGATCTTTAGTTTCTTCCTCTACAAACTCTGAAGAGTGGAGGGAGAGCTCTTGTGAATGAAAACCTGTGCTCATAAGGCCCACCTTCTGCCAAAGCATGGAGAGTATTGCCCCGAGTTGTGAGTGGAAGGTGCTAGGCTCTTCGTCTTCTGTTCCTGACCTCATCTCCATCATGGAGGAGGGGATGGGATATAGTTAACACTGTGCTCTCAATGCTTTTACTTTTATTGCTTCTTTTTCTTGGGCTTTTGTATTTTAATCTTTCTTGCACTTAATTCTGGCATTCCAGAATAGGCGTATTATATCCAGTTAAAGTGAGTTTAGTCCTTAGTGAAGAGATTAGCGGATGCTAATCTTTTCATCTATGTACTCATCCAGTGTTTCTCACTTTCTGAAATTGGTCTGTTTGTTTTTGATGACTAATATGCCTGAATCATTGTAGACCTAAGGACTTGAGCTTGTGTCTGTAGAGGCCAGGTAGATAATATGATGAATGGAGCCAGGCATAATTTAAAAAAAAAATGTTTTTTTTTTAGTATAGTCATGTTTAATTTTCAGTTGTATAGCTAATATTTGACCTTAATCTTGGGGCCGTAACCAAGAATGGTGGAGGCTTTGGCTAACTGGAAAGCTTATGTTGTGACCCTTTTAAGCATGCAAATGCTGTCCAGCCCCACCTGATCATTGCCGTGGTGGGACTGGGTAGCATACTCCCCCTTAAAAGGTGGCGTTGGACCTGTGTTGCCAGATTTTCTAATTTTTTTTAAATTTTTTAATATTTTATTTATTTTTGAGAGAGAGAGAGAGACAGCATGAACAGGGGAGGGTCAGAGAGAGAGGGAGATACAGAATGTGAAGCAGGCTCCAGGCTCTGAGCTGTCAGCACGGAGCCCGACGCGGGGCTCGAACCCCTGAACTGTGAGATCATGACCTGAGCTGAAGTCGGATGCTTAACTGACCGAGCCACTCAGGCGCCCCTAAATGTTAAGGACAAATATGGTTGTAGGCTGTCATATTTAGGTCTATTTTATTATTTGTGGGTGAACTACCTTGAATCCTGGTTTCAGTGAATCCCTGAATGGGCGATAGATGGCCAGTTAGTGTTGGTTTGATTGTCCTGCTGCTGCTTAGGCGATGAGCAGGAGACATCTCTGCTTGTACGGTTTTTCTTATGGTGACTGAGCAACCTAGTACTCTCACTAGGAAAGGACTGAGAGAGTGTTTGGGCAACTAGGCCTTGAAAAGACAAGACTTTCTCTGTGTGCACCCCGAGGTTGGCCATGTAAAATTAGTATATTACTAAGTTTCTCTTTTCTGTAGCAGTGATTAGATTCCTCACGTTTACCAGGAAATCTGGAAAATAAACACTCCTAGTGTTCCTTAAATTGAGGAATGCATTTACCCCCTTGCTGTTCCCATCACCATTGGACCCTTTTTTCTGCCAACTCCCTCTTCCTCCTTACCCTTCCCTTTCATCTACAAAGCGTAAATTTGTGGCCTATCTGTGATAGATAATCCAGATACTGTGTACATAAAGAATCTTGTGAAAATGTGAACCCCAAATTCAGGAAATTCACCGTCTGGTCAACATCAACCCATAAACATTAACGAGAACTCATGGTAATTGATGTGTGATGTAAAGGAGTATTTTTTATAATACTCGCATATTTGGGTTTTTGGTTATATGTGAATTATAACACTATAAAATAGGTTTTAAAAAAACTCCTTAAGGGCAAGAGTTCTGTTTATTTATGCTGGAGCACATTTATAGTGTTATGAAGCTGTTGGAACCCTTAATTATGAGAGATCATTTATGACATGGCACCCCCTAAAGACTGTTATTAAATTCTGGAGGTTACTTCTATTCAGCGACAAGTTCCTTGATCTGACATTAATGTAATATAATTATTGTATAGGATGGGATCTTTAAGATGAGCCTTTCTCCAGATGGGACCCTCCTTGCTGCCATTCATTTCTCAGGGAAACTGAGCATCTGGGCCATTCCATCTCTGAAACAGCAAGGGGAATGGAATCAAAATGAACAGGTATGTCTTCTGATTATTATTATTATGAGAATGATTCTTGCTTAAGGGTGAGTACTGACAATACTAATTTCATTTGGTTGATATTTTACTGTAGCACACAGCTATTACTCGTGCTCATCATGCCAAAGCTTTAGTTAAATTAGAATATTATCAGCAGAGCAGGATGAATTAAGAATAGAGTAGCACTGTGTCTGACTTTAATTTGTAGTGCATAGTGCGGTACACTCTGTAGACTGACTGTCATCTGTCCACCCCTTCTCCTTTTTTCTCGTCATAAAAATGCAGAATGGAGATACTAATTTTGTAGCAAAAGCCAAATATGATGTGGAGGGTGGTCAGTATTCTAAAAGGGTTATACTTCTTCCCAAGTCTTTTGCAATGCTAATACAATATTGGGCTTGCTTAAGGCTTGAAGGGAGATCTCTTCACTCAAAAGATAGGTAGTGAAGATACAGTCTATTCAGTGTTTAGTGTCTTGAAATGACAGGTTTTAAGAACGAAAAGACTTAGTTGTTTAGGAACAGAATCGTCATTTGTTATCATCTAAAATCGTGATGGGCAGATAAGGCCTGTGAATGTAATGCTGTATATTGTGATAGAGGGAAGATTAAAAGAAAGACCTCAGTTAGATACAGCTTTATGTTCTAAATGTTTTACTCCTCTCATGATGAGTTAGCATTTCAGTACTTTAACCTGTAAGTACTGAAATGGTACTGTTTTTTCTCTCATTTCCCCATTCCTCTTTTCTATTGGTGTATCTTTTCACCAGTTTTGGTGGATAGTTTTATGTTTCTAAGATGGGAGCCTTTTCCCTGAATGGTCTGAACGGATTGATGTCTTTTTTCAGAATTCTTTTTAATTTCATTTCATTAGTTAATCTGAGCCATTAAAAGAATTTTGAAAAGCAAAGAGCGTTTTGTTATTCCCAGAACAGCAGAGGGAAAGGGAAACTGGCTCTGCATTTTCTTACACTTTTCGCAGACTTAAATTTGTTTTTGCTCTTCTTCTTCTCCTTCTTCTTTTTTTTTTTTTTTGTTTCAATACACAAGTTTAGGAAGGTTTTTTCCCCCTTAGTTCTTAGTCACCTTGAATTTAATTTCCTCTCCACATCTCTACCACTCTCTCTTGCACTGGATGTTGATTTGTTCTAAACAGAAGAGGGACTCCTCAGTCTTCAATCTCAGCAGCAGTATACAAGGAACATTCTTTTTCTCTCCTTGGAATTGGTAGCTAATTTGACTTATATCTTCCCTCTAGAAGTGGAGTGGATCAACTCCAAAACCATTTGTTTCACATATTTAGCCAGGGACACTGGATAATCGATCCAGAAAGGACCATGTATTTTTCATGGTTATTAGCGTATAGTATAATAGCGTATAGAGTCATTTGGGAAGACTCTATTATGTATGTGATATTTTACATTTGGGCAATTCTTTTTTCTTAGGTTTACTAATTTTCTTAAATTATTTCATTCACCTAATAGAAATATTGATCAAGTTTGAAGCACACCTATTATTTCATTTTGTTAGTACTCTAGCACACATGTAGTGTAAGGGCTATTTAGGCAATAATCATTAGTATGCTCTTTTGTTTACTGAAATTCTGGATACCCTTCTTTACCTGCAAAGATAAATTGGATTTGTTGTAATCCTTCTTGACATACACTCACCTTTTTAACTAGTTAGATATTTTTGTGTCATTAGTGGCCAATCAATATCATTATAATTCACTACTCTCATTAATGTTTTTAATTTTTGTGATTTTTTTTTTAGAGATTCTATTAAAGTAACTTAAAAATTGTTTAAAAATCTTGATTGAGTAAATAAATATAAATATTCCCATAGTTTAGAACAGGCCATCAGAAAAGTAATGGGGAAGGAAAGGAAGGAAATTGGAAAATGGGAAAAGGGGTTTGGTGGGAAGAGAGAGGAGTTGATGGCAGCAGTTGGTCTCCTGTGTTTTCGTAGTGAGACTCTTGAAACTTGAGAATCGAGAAGGGCAGCTCATCAAGAGTTGCTGTGGACTGACTGTTCAGTGAGCAGCCTGGCCTCTCGGGGCTCTGGTTTAGTGTCCCCAGTCTGCGGAAACTGTCTGTTGATGTAGCTTGATTCTCAAGCTAGTTATAGCTTTTATTATAAACTGACCAATTGTTAGGGTACCATGTCTGTGTTTTCAGATCGGGTTGCTCTATATTATTTCCCTCGAATGCCTGAGCAAACTAGGAAAAATAACAGGTTTTGGGGCTCACAAAACTGAAGACCACAGACCTGGTTGCCATTACTGGAGACGGTTTGTAGGTGGTAGAGTCCTTTGCTGAGGGAACTGTGGCTTAGTGAGAACTACTGAACCTAATCCTACCTTTACTGCTATTTCTGCTGCTGCTCAGCATGCCGCCTTGTTCCCTGGTGCTTCCCATCCTGGGCAGGTGGGAGTCAGCCCCCCACTTCTCCTGCTGTAGCGCAGCACATGGGAAGACTGTGGCTGAATAGGACAGATTCTGCGCCGAGACTCCTCGTTTTAGTCTCAAAAGAAATTTTGTCCAGAGTTTATAATAAAGACTTTAATTTCATCTATTCTTTTTTTTTGATTCTAATGTTGTGATTGAAATGCAAACTCATTTGTCTACCTGGATCATTATACTGCTTCACACTTGCTTCCTGAACTTTCCTCTCCCTGCTCCTTGCTTTTGTCCAATCCTTACTGCTATTCTTTTGGAACTTCATTCTATCAAACAAATTCTTGTGAGGCTTCATCATTTTCACAGAAAGAACACTCTGTTGTTTTTGTATGTTTGTTTGTTTTTATTTTTGATACACTTCTTTCAGGATTATGTGGCTCAGTGAGGTCATGATTCATATAGATAGTTTTCTTGTAGCTTTTACAAAATGTACTATAATAAACCTTCAATTATTATTTATTGAGCGCTTACTTTGTCCCAGAGTTATTTAGCAAGTAAGCAGTAGAGTTGAGATTTTAGAGAGATTTCATCTCTCTCTGACTCTGATGTACGTGCTCTTCCCATGACCCGGTGGGAAAATAAATACATTTTATAAAAGGTGGAAAACATATTTATTAGACTTTATTTATTTGATCTTTTAAAGAACAGAGACAGATCCTTTTTCCCAGTGAATAGAACACAGATTTCTTCAGCGTTCTCAGATGTGTGGAGTTCTTGAGCCAGTTAGTATGTACTGCCAAGACCTGGCGTAAATAATTGACATAGCTTCCCGCTGGTAAACCTATAAGTTTACAATAGATGTGTACAGTGCTTGTGAGGTGCTGGGAGATGATGTGAGAGTGGTAGCTCCTTGTTCAGCAAAAAGGGTTTGAAAAACTATACTTCGCTTGAGTCTTTCACCTGTATTCTGGGAGTTCATCGCATTGGCTTGGCCATTTGGATTAACTCCCAGGATACAGGTGAATATCCTATATCCTGGATACTACATGAAGGGAGTCCTCAAAATCTAGTGTACTACAGTAAGTACTATAAAGCTTGTGTGTAACAGTTTTATAAGGAGTAAGCTGCTACTATAGTCATAATAATTATAAAATAATAGAGTTCATCTCTTCACTGAATCTTTACCAAGTTTTAGAGAATGCGGTAAGTCCCAGTCCTTGCCCTCTAGATGTTCATAGTCTTGCAAGGGAAATTATAAACAAGTCAACAAAGTAACATGTTAATATTATGAAAAGATAAGCTCAGAGGAAAGACTCACACTCCAGTTGGGGGGAAGGATTGTTGGGAGTAAGTAGCTTTGGTTTACTGAGTCCTGACTGTCCACCCTGTGTGATAGGCATCTATTTCAGTTGCTTCACTACAGTCCTAGTAAGTAACAAATGTTTTTGTATTTTAATAGATGGGAATAGTGCTAAAAAGAAGTAAACTTGCATCGCTGCATTAGAATCAAGATTCTGGTTGGACTCAGGTTCTCGGACTTCATAGGTTAAGCCTTTGTTTCAGAGTATCTTCTGTAGCCCTTATGTTGAGAGAGCTTGACTTTTTTTTTTTTTTTAAGTTATTTATTGACAGAGAGAGAGAATGAGAGAGATAAGAGAGAATGAGAACCAGCTGGGAGGGGCAGAGAGGGGAACAGAGGATCCAAAGTGGGCTTGTGCTGACAGCAGCGAGCTCGATGTGGGGCTCAAACTCATGAACTGTGAGATCATGACCTGAGCCGAAGTCAGATGCCCCTAGATCTTGACTTTTTCATCTGGGCAAGTTAGGTACTAGTGATGATATTAATGGAAAACAGGGAGAGAGTCCATGCAGTTTACGTGAATGACGCCTTCTGGGGTTGAGCATTCGTTATGCACAGACACTGATAACGTGAAACTATTAGTAAGTCATATACCAAATATATTGGTGTCATTTTGTGTACTCATCACTGGCTGAGCCCTTAAACAGCTGCCCCTTTCTCATCCATCCTGCAATAGTCAAGGGACCTTGGGTCAGCCTGAGGGGTCTACCTGTCGTTATGGCTGTTCTAGGAAATGAAATGGCCAAGCCAATATGTATAAAATAGATTATATGGTCATATATAGTGTATAGCCAGCTTATAGTTTTAGCTAAAACATGGCCTGAGAAGAAACTAGAGTTACTATTGCCCTGTACAACCTTAGCCTCTTTTACCAGCTCATCTGGGGCTTTCTTCATGTAATTCGCTACTTTGTTAGTTTTCATAATATGGTTTGTGTGATTGAGTATTTTCTCTATAAAATCTAATGATTAAAGATAGTTGTGGAAGTGCCTCTTCTGATTTACTTCCACCCAGTTTTGAGTTGATTAAATACTTCAGCTTTCATTGTCAATATGAAAATCCATCTGGCTAGAAATCTGTGCGTATTAAGGTCTGTTCATGTCTAGAATATAGTGAAATTGCTAAAGTGATTTTCATCTCAAACATTTCCCATATGTTATGTTTATATATTTCCATCTCATTTTTGGCCTTAATTTTTGTCTGAAGAAGTTTTATTATTTTTCTGTTTGTACTTCTGTTTGA